TTCAGAAGTGTTTTCTCATACAATCTTCAGAAGTGCCTCCAAGAGAGACATTATTTGCATTTTACAGATGAGGAACCTGAGGCTGTCTCTGAGGTGAGGCATCCTGCTTATATGCTCAGTGTCACAAATCTTTCATTGGAATTCAGGCCTGACTTTAGTCCTCATATCCAAACTGGCTCCTCCACTTACAGAAAGAAAACAGGCCAAAATAGTTTCAAGGACTTGTCCAAGGTCACGAGGCAAGCAAGCGGCAGTGCCTGGTAATGAATTCTAGTCTTCCTCTTCCAGTACATTAGATGTCTCTTTTCTCTTCTTGTAGGAGCTTCCTTCCTACAGGGTTCCCTTCCTACAAGAGGAGAAAAGACTAAAATCTCCCGGTTTCAGTATTCCATAGTCACTCACATTTGCGGAGTTTTTATTTTCCCAAACACATTTTACCATACTTCTTTATGAGTGTTCTATAACTAACTAGTTCTCTGACAGATATGTATATTTATCTCTCAAACCAGATTCTAAGCTCTTTACAAATACCTATAACAGCAGAACTACTTGCTGATTACTGCATACATTTATCTGCATACATTTATCTCACTGTATTAGTTAGCTATTGCTGTGTAACAAATTATCTCAAAAATCAAGTCACTTAAAACAAAAAGTATTTATTATCCCACAGAATTGTTAAGGGTCAGAAATTCAAGAGCAGCTTAGATGTGTGGTTCTGGCCCACCCCTACAAAGTCTCAGTCAAAATGTCAGCTGGGGTTGCCAATATCTGAACAAGCTTGGATTGGGGCGGGATAGTTTATTTGCAGGCTCACTCATGTTTTGCTGGCAGGCCCCAGCCTTACTGGCTGTTGGCCAGAGGCTTTACTTCTTTGCCACACGAGACTCTCCATAGGGCTGCTGAAAACATGGCAGCTTGCTTTCACTAGAGCAAGTGATGAGAGAGAGCGAGAGACAGACAGAGGGAGAGAAAGATCTCTCTTATGATCTACCTTTAGAAGCCACATACCTCCTCTTCTGCCACATACGATTGGTCACATAGACCAATTCTGGTGCAGTGTAGGAGGGGATTACACGAGTCTTAATACCAGAAGGCAGGAATCACTGGGAACCATCTTTGAAGCTGGTGACCATACTATTTACCCATCACAGTAATCACGTGAAGATAGGAGACTTTATGTCACTGCCTGAAGGTTATATAACTTATAAGAGTAATGTGGATTCAGATCCAAAGTTAATATACAGACACACTAAATGTCATTTCTGGCACTCCACCTATTCATTCAGCAAATAACAGGTACCAACTATATGCCAGATGGCTTAGGTAAAGCCACATGGTCCATACTATTATAACATTTACCTTTTGGTGGAGGAGACAGATAATAAGCAAAAAGCTAATTAAACACTAATAATATACAGATAATCTCAAACGATGGCTAGATCTCATCTGCCCCTACTCATCCTCAAAGGTACAGGGCATGAAGTCCATGACAGAGGAAGGAATGATGGTAACTGGTAAACCCACTTCATGTACTTAGAAAGCCTTTCCCACAGGCATGGATCAAATCTTACCTTTAATTTGCTGTGTGATGTTGGTCAAGTCCCCTTACCTTCCTGACCCTCAGTTTCCCATCAGCAAATCATCTTGGGGAGAGAGACTATAGGATCTGCAAGTTTGCAAAATGCTTTAACCTGAAGGGAAGTGAGTGTAGTGGACAGAGAACACCAAGCTGGGGCAAGGGAAGCCTGGCTTCACGTTCTCCATTCATGTGCTGAGGAATATGGGGTGATGTCCTCTAACTTTCTGGGCCTCAGTTCTAAAGTAAGGAGGTTAGATGAGCTCTAAGCCCTGCCTTGTTCTATCTTCCTACAACTAGACGTCAGTCAGCCTGTAAATAACAGGACTTCCTACAGCTACACGTCAGTCAGCCAGTAAATGACAGGACTTCCTACAACTAGATGTCAGTCAGTCAGTAAATGACAGGACTTCCTACAACTAGATGTCAGTCAGTCAGTAAATGACAGGGTGGTGAAGTGCCTTGCCCATTAGGCAGTTAATAGCAACAAAGTTGGGAAGCCTGAGAAGCTCTGCCTCTGTCACCACCAAACTGTGTAACCCTCTCCTCAGCTTCCTCCTCTGCAAAATGGGAATCATGACGGTACCTACCTTGTCTGCTGCAAGAAATTGCTGCAAACTCGGTGGCTTAAGATAATTATTAAGAAGTTTGTTCTCTGCCAGTGCTGGAGGCCAGAAATTCAAAATGAAGGTGCTGGCATTTGATTTCTGGTGGTGCTGCTTCTGGAGGCTCTAGAGGAGAATCCGTGCCTGGCCTCTTTCAGGTTGTGGTAGCAGCAGCATTGATTGGTTTGTGGCCACAATGCACCAATCTCTGTTCCACTCCCATGTCGCCTTCTCCTCTGTGTGTGTAATTTCTTTCTGCCTCTCTGTCATAAGAACATTTGTGATGGCATTTAGGCCAACCTGGAAAACCCAGGAGGGTGTCCTCAAGAGTTTTGACACAATCACATCAGCATAACCTTTACCATAGAAAGTCGCATTCATAGATTCCAAGTTGCAGGGCTTAGGACAGAGACATGCCTTGGGAACCATTATTAGCCTGCCACTCTACCTCATGTATTTGCTATAGGGATTAAATAAGTTAAAACAGGTAAAGCACTTAGATAAAACCTGTAGTTTAGTGAACACGTTTAAAAAACAAATGTGGTAGAGAATCATTGGGGGATGGGAAGAACTGAGACCATACCCTGCCCAGGTGTCTTCTGTTACCTGGTAGGAAGATCAGTCATTCTTTTCAGCATGCTCCACGAGTCTGCAAACAGACTGAAGCCAGGTCCCAGTACCCGCAAATGGCTCCAAATGACCTTGTGACCACGTGCCCTCTTGTCTGACGGTGAATGTTCAGAGACAAGCAGGGGCTTCCTCTGAGCTTGTATTAATATGTACAGCACTTGCCGGGTACAGCACTTGCCGGGCGCGGTGGCTCAAGCCTGTAATCCCAGCACTTTGGGAGGCTGAGACGGGCGGATCACGAGGTCAGGAGATCAAGACCATCCTGGCTAACACGGTGAAACCCGTCTCTACTAAAAAATACAAAAAACTAGCCAGAGGCTGAGGCAGGAGAATGGCGTAAACCCGGGAGGTGGAGCTTGCAGTGAACTGAGATTGTGCCACTGCACTCCAGCCCGGGCGACAGAGTGAGACTCCGTCTCAAAAAAAAAAAAAAATTTGTACAGCACTTCACTCACATGGAAAATTGATTTTTTAAGCACAAAATGCAGCAGTTTTATAACCTTTCTGCAGCTTGACAAAGGCCATTTATAACCTACTTTCTCTGTCACTCTTCCTGGCGCCAGCCTCAAATGTCTTGAAGAACTCTTGCATGCATTTGTAATTATAGAATCTTCTCAGGCAAAATTTAATTTCCAAGAGGGCTGACCTTTTTTTTGTTGTTGTTATTGTGGTTTTTGTAAATTAATTTTTATGTGTATGTTTTATTATTGGTGTTGTTTAGGTGACGGCATGGGAAGCGGAGCAGGGAGTTGGACGGTGGGGGCTCACGGTGGGAAGGCATTTTAATCAGTGATGTCCGGTGATGGATGAGGAAGGCTGGGCTCTGGGTGTTAATCTTTGTGGACAAGAAATGCCAGCAGGAGGACTGAAATAAAAACCCAGTACCTCATTTTCTCTTCTGAAGGCAAGAGTGTTGGAACTACTTCTCCATCAGCTGGGATGGAGAAGATGAGCTCAGCCTCATCAAATGATAGAAAACTAAATTAAATCAATAGCCATCTGTCTCCACAGTATATGATTTTCCACTAAAGGAGCGCATAGCAGGTGCCAGACCCACTGACAAGAGCATTCTAGCTGAGGCCATTGAAGGTAGAACTCCCTGGAGTTTGCTTAGGGACCAGAGGATTATGGGGAGGGCTGTGCATATGGCCAAGCAGAGCACTTGGTTTTCTATAAAGGGAGGGCCTTGAATATCAGTTTACAGCAGATTCACATGTTTTAAGATTCATTTACTTATTTAAGCTGGGGAGTGATGCTATTTAGAATTAGCACTCTGTTGGCCATTTGGAGGATGGTTTTGAGAAGGCCTGACTGGAGTCCAGCAGACTGGCTAGGAGCCCTTTCCATGATGTTGTGAGTATGCAGGAATCTCACTTACGGCTCCAGGGACAAGGGTGGAGAAGAAGAGACAAATTCAAGACAGGAAGGAAGGCAATTCACATTTTATGAGTACCAAATTATGTGCCAAATTCTGAAGTAAGGGATGCACCCCCATGATCCACCTTAAGCTTCACCCGGGAGGCGGAGCTTGCAGTGAGCCCAGACCGAGCCACTGCACTCCAGCCTGGGTGACAGAGCGAGACTCCGCCTCAAAAAAAAAAAAAAAAAAAAAAAAAAAGCTTCACATCTAATCTGTAGTTGTAGATATTGTGCCCATTTATTAGATGAGAACATTGAAGCTCAGAGACGGCAAGTAACTTCTCTGGGTCACATAGTGAGAAGAGGAAAAGCTGGAAATTAAACTCATACTGGTAGAGGCTTTTAAATATATATCTGGCAGCCTCCCCATGTGACTTTTCTAACAGTAGACCCTGTAGGGCAGTAACAGTAGAAACAATAATGCATATGATCCCAGCAATGTCAATATTAACAAGCAGCTGACATTTGCTATGCTGTTGCCGTGTGAGCCAGTGTTCTCAACACTTTCCTGACATTATCACTCTTCATTCTCACAATGCCATAAGAAGATAGTCACAAAAGTCCCATTTTACAGGTGGGCACGCTGAGGTTCAGAGAAGTAAAGGGACTTGTGGAACTTGTCACAAAGCTATTAACTGACCAAAGGAGACTGAAAACCTTTCTATCAATCCCTGACACATGTCTCTTCCAGGAGGGAGGAGAGGGCATGATGATGGGGCCTACAACCTCCCAAGCCATAACCACCCTGTTGCCCTCTCTCTGAGCAGTGCCCCGAGGAGCTGAAACCCATGAAGGATGGCTCCGGCTGCTACGACCACTCCAAAGGCATTGACTGCTCTGATGGTTTTAATGGCGGCTGTGAGCAGCTGTGCCTGCAGCAGACGCTGCCTCTGCCCTACGATGCCACTTCAAGCACCATCTTCATGTTCTGCGGGTGAGTCTGTGTCCCCAAGGCCCAGGCGCCCCATTTACAGAAGTGAGGGATGCATGAGAAAATGATCAGACACTACAACTCAGCAAGGCTGAACTTAGACGTTCGATAGAATGACCTTTCTGCCTCTCCTGTTTTAGCCCAAGAACCAAAAGCCAAAATTATAACCTTCTGTTGGGTGGTTATAAATTATAACCTTCTTAAAAAAGAAAAAAATGAGAAAAATAAATATTGGGTTAATAAATATAACCCATGCCCAGGCCTCATCCTAGAGCCAGGAGCTTTTTCCTACTGAAGCCTCTTGCCCTTCTGAATCTACCTGTATGGCCCTAGTCAGTGCAGTTTGGAGACAAAAGCAGACGTCTTGAAGGTGGTCACAAAGGTTTCAGGTTTGGTGCATAAAAGCACAGGCTAAGCCCAGGCTTCAAGCTCAGTTTCAGCAGGAATGTAACAGTGTGAGTGCAGTGTTCAGCCTTTCTGTGTCCTCATGTCCATATCTGTAAGGACAATTAATTGGAGGAGGGAAAGGCTAAAGGAAACAATGTAGGTAAAGCTTGCAGGGCAGTGCTGGCTCTCGAAGGACTCAAGCTGAGTTTTGAAATAAGTTTGAGGCTAAAAGGGGAACATGCTGGGACTAACTTGCTGAGTGACCTCCGACAAGTCATGTTCTCTGTCTGGGCCACAGTGTGACCATCTGTGAAAAGAGATCTTTGGGGAAGGATGGCTGACATTTCTTCCAGCTTACCTTGCTTTCCATTTGAAGACTGCAATGGCCATTACCTCTGCTTTTGACAGCACCTTGCATAGCATTTGGTCCTCAGTAATCACTCAAGAAAATAGACTTTTTTCTTCTCCTCTCCATTCCCTTTCTGATTATGTCTTAGTATTAGAATATTAGCTTATCTTTTGACATTCTGTGACTCAGAAAAATAATCTTGTACTCGTGAAAGAAGTACATTTAATGCTCTCTTTACTAAGAGAGAAAAGCAGAACGGGACATTTAACAACGTTTTCAGTCCTATGTTTCACAAATAGGGGGTGAGCGTGGGCATGGGTTTAATTTCAGTTTACCAGAAAAATTAATTTAACTTGTATGATTCTAGTGCGTAGAGTCCAGTTTTTCTTCGAGGGCTTGTTTCAAGGTCTCCTTTCCTGCCCTAGTTGCACTTAGGGCTGCTGGTGCCTTTGTGCAGGTATAGAAGCAGCTCACTGGAGGCCCTAGATATGTATCAGTAAAATAAATAAGAAATAAATTAGGGTATGCAGACCTGAATTTATAGCGATCTCTCCTCAGCTTAAGTGACTGCAGGCAATGTTGAGTAAATTATGCATGGCTTTAGATCTTCAGGCTGCATACAGAATCAGCCATGTTCTTGTCATTGTTATTTTTCTCTCTCTGTGTTTGGGATGGGGTGGGGGCTGTTCTGTGGCAAATAACAACAGTAACAGCAGCAGGAGCAGCAATAATGGATTTTGACATCAGAAACTATTACCACCTTCCATCCACAGCACACTACAGGGAACCGTGGATTCAAAAGACACGAATTCTAATCCTAGCTCTGCCACTCTCTTAGGCATAAGGCAAGCCTTTCAGGACGCCTGACCTTCCATTGTCTCATCTGTAAAATTTTTATACCTACTTTAATATAATGATAATTCTGAAGAGTGAAAGTATTTCATATTTGTTACCCTCTGAAGGTTAAGAAACATGCCCAAGGTCATATGACTAGTGATGTGGCTCAATATCTCCTTGCTGTGTGACCTTGAGCAAGTTAATTAATGTCTCTGTGCCTCAGTTTTCTCATCTGTAAAACAGGGATAATAGTAATATCTGTCTATAGAGATGTTATAAGGACTAAATATATTACCATTTACATTAATATTTGTGAAATGCTTTGGAACAATGTCCTGCACAGAGTTAGCAATCTATGTGTTTGTTAAATAAATTAACTTAAATGATTCTAATAACATTTGCTAGTGACCTGATGCAGTAGACAGGACTAATCAATGGGCAAAAACTGGAAGCTTTCCCTTTGAAAACTGGCACAAGATGCCCTCTCTCACCACTCCTATTCAACATAGTGTTAGAAGTTCTGGCTAGGGCAATCAGGCAGGAGAAAGAAATCAAGGGTATTCAGTTAGGAAAAGAAGAAGTCAAATTGTCCCTCTTTGCAGATGACATGATTGTATATTTAGAAAACTCCATCGTCTCAGCCCAAAATCTCCTTAAGCTGATAAGCAACTTCAGCAAAGTTTCAGGATACAAAATCAATGTGCAAAAATCACAAGCATTCTTATACACCAGTAACAGACAAACAGAGAGCCAAATCATGAATGAACTCTCATTCACAATAGCTTCAAAGAGAATAAAATACCTAGGAATCCAACTTACAAGGGATGTAAAGGACCTCTTCAAGGAGAACTACAAACCACTGCTCAGTGAAATAAAAGAGGACACAAACAAATGGAAGAACATACCATGCTCATGGTAAGAAGAATCAATATCGTGAAAATGGCCATACTGCCCAAGGTAATTTATAGATTCAATGCCATCCCCATTAAGCTACCAATGACTTTCTTCACAGAATTGGAAAAAACTGCTTTAAAGTTCATATGGAACCAAAAAAGACCCCGCATTGCCAAGACAATCCTAAGCCAAAAGAACAAAGCTGGAGGCATCACGCTACCTGACTTCAAACTATACTACAAGGCTACAGTAACCAAAACAGCATGGTACAGGTACCAAAACAGAGATATAGACCAATGGAACAGAACAGAGCCCTCAGAAATAATACCACACATCTACAGCCATCTGATCTTTGATAAACCTGAGAAAAACAAGAAATGGGGAAAGGATTCCCTATTTAATAAATGGTGCTGGGAAAATTGGCTAGCCATAAGTAGAAAGCTGAAACTGGATCCTTTCCTTACTCCTTATATGAAATTTAATTCAAGATGGATTAGAGACTTAAATGTTAGACCGAACACCATAAAAACCCTAGAAGAAAACCTAGGTAATACCATTCAGAACATAGGCATGGGCAAGGACTTCATGTCTAAAACACCAAAAGCAGTGGCAACAAAAGCCAAAATTGACAAATGGGATCTAATTAAACTAAAGAGCTTCTGCACAGCAAAAGAAACTACCATCAGAGTGAAAAGGCAACCTACAGAATGGGAGAAAATTTTTGCAATCTACTCACCTGACAAAGGGCTAATATCCAGAACCTACAAAGAACTCAAACAAATTTACGAGAAAAAAACAAACAACTCCATCAAAAAGTGGGCAAAGGATATGAATAGACACTTCTCAAAAGAAGACATTCATACAGCCAACAGACACATGAAAAAATGTTCATCATCACTCATCATCAGAGAAATGCAAATCAAAACCACAATGAGATACCATCTCATACCAGTTAGAATGGCAATCATTAAAAAAATCAGGAAACAACAGGTGCTGGAGAGGATATGGAGAAATAGGAACACTTTTACACTGTTGGTGGGACTGTAAACTAGTTCAACCATTGTGGAAAATAGTGTGGCAATTCCTCAAGGATCTAGACCTAGAAATACCATTTGACCCAGTCATCCCATTACTGGGTATATACCCAAAGGATTATAAGTCATGTTGCTATAAAGACACATGCACACGTATGTTTATTGTGACACTATTCACAGTAGTAAAGACTTGGAATCAACCCAGATGTCCATCAGTGACAGACTGGATTAAGAAAATGTGGCACATATACACCATGAAATACTATGCAGCCATAAAAAAGGATGAGTTCATGTCCTTTGTAGGGACATGGATGCAGCTGGAAACCATCATTTTCAGCAAACTATCACAAGAACAGAAAACCAAATACCGCATGTTCTCACTCATAGGTGGAAATTGAACAATGAGATCACTTGGACACAAGAAGGGGAACATCACACACTGGGTCCTATTGTGGGGAGGGAGTAGGGGGAAGGGATAGCATCCTAGGAGATATACCTGATGTAAATGATGAGTTAATGGGTACAGCACACCAACATGGCACATGTATATATATGTAACAAACCTACACATTGTGCACATGTACCCTAGAACTTAAAGTATAATTTAAAAAAAAAAAAAAAAAGGACTGTGAAAGTCTTAAGAAGACTCAATGGGTGAGAGTGTGTGGTGAGCTGTTAAAACCCATCCAAATGGTAATAAACAGGACAAAAGAAACAAAACCCAGGCATCCTAAAAGCAACTGCAGTTTCAACAGGATTTGGAAACTGTCTATTAGGAATGCAAATGAGAAGTTACCACATTTGTTAGAAGCACTGTAAACAATGAAAGCTATTAGCAGGTACTTGTGAGAGAGATGGTCTAGGGAGAAGTGGGATGCGATTGAATTAAGCAAGGAAAACAAAATAAACTCATTATCAAGAGGACCTTCCCAATTTGCTCAAAGCTCTATGACCTTCCTAAGAGTGTTCTGGGTAGGAGAAGGTTTAATAAATCTGTTTGCAACCAGGTTAATAATAGCAGCTAACATTTACTAAGGACTTTCTAGGTACCATGACTGTTCTAAGTGCTTTGGGTACATTAGCTCATTCAATTCTCATAACAACTCTACAAGGGATATACTATTATGATTCCCATTCTATGGCTTTTTGTTTTGTTTTAAAAAAAAGCACAGAGTGGCTCAGTAACTGTCCAAGGTCACATATCTGGTAAGTGAGGTTGTGGAGATTGAAACTTAGGTATTGTGGTTCCAGGTTCAGTCAAGACAGATCTGATGTCATTGCTGGCCTCTGGCCACATCTAGTCATGTGGTCTTTGGCAAGTCACTCAATTTCTCTGAGCCTGTGCTCTTTAATGTAGAATTAGAAGTGATTGTAGCACCATTGTGAAGATTAAATGAAAGTATACATGCACAGGAGCTGTCATAGTTAAGCACTCAGTAAACCGTAGTTATAATTAGTCTAATAAGTATAAAACCATATCATTTAATTATGTAATTACTGGA